TGCTACTATCCTCCTCACTGTTTACTGCTTTTCCTAGCTTAGCATCATCTGCAAACTTGGAAATTGTACTCCCTACACCCAAGTCCAGGTCATCTATACAGATCACAAACAGCAGTGGTCTCAATACCGACCCCTGGGGGACACCACTGCACACTTCTCTCCAGTCAGAAAAACAACCATTCGCCACCACTCTGCTTTCTGTCTCCCAGCCAGTTCTGTATCCATGCTGCCACTATCCCTTTAATACTAAATGCAAAATACTGCAGATGCTGGAAATCTGAAACAAAAACAGAAGTCGCTGGGAACACTCAGCAGGTGAGGCAGCATCTATGAAGAAAGGAAAGTGAGTCAATGTTTTGGGTCCATGACCCTTCATCAGACTAGGTGACTTATCTACCTTGAGCACCGACAACCATTTCAGTACCTCCTCTCAGTTTATTCTTATCCAATTTCTCTACCTATTCCTCCGATACTGTGGCATTGGCTTCATCGTCTTCTTTTGTGGAGACTGATGCAAAATACTCATTCAATACGCAACCATGCCCTCTGTCTCCACAAGAAGATTTTCTCTTTGGTCCCTAAGTGTACCCACCCTACCTTCGACTAACCGTTTATTCTTTGTATGCTTATAAAATACCTTAGGCTTCCCTCTTATGTTACCTGCTAATCTTTTCTCATAAAATCTCTTTGCCCCTCTTATTTCCTTTTTCACTTCTCCTCTGTACTTACTATTATTTAATTTGATTAGCTTCCGTATTTTGGACCTGACATTTATCATAAGCCTCCTTTTTCTGTTTCATTTTAATCCCAATTTCCTTATTCATCCAGGGAAGTTTGGATGCTCTACCTTTCCCCTTTGTGGGAATGTATTTGTTCTGTCCCCGAACTATCTCCTCCTTGCAGGTTTCCCATTGCTCATTAGATGTTTTACCTGCCAATCTTTCTTTTCAGTTCACCTTGGCTAGATCCCTTTTTAACTCATTGAAATTAGCCCTCTTGAGCATCATCGTTCCGAATATGGTGTAAAATGCCTGGCCAGTAAACACCAGTCAGAAAATGTGACCTAAAATTGCCAGACTTTGTCTCGTCTGGCACTTTTCAAATGGCAAAGCAGTGTGCTGAATTTAGAATAGAGAATTTACTGAAATGTCATGCATAATATGGAGAGTTTTGTTCACTGAGCGATCATGTGCAGTATGTTAGCCTGTGGGATTAGTAGCAGAACCAATGTTGTTTAAAAAAAATTCCTTTATGAGAAAGATCTAGACAGTGCAACTCAATTATGAAACTAAATACAGATTATTTAGACAATTACGTCCAAGATTTCTCTTGTTTTAGTTGGGGGTAGGACTCAGAGCATTTTATTTGACATCTGTTTGACTGATACAACACACAGAAATGTAACAAAAACCACAACTTGCCCTTATATAGAGCCCTCCACAGAGGGTAGCATCTCAGAGCGCTTAACAGTGGCGGATCCTGACTCCGAGCCGGGAGGGTGGGGGGGAGGTGATCGTAAGCACGGTCGAAAAGGAAGTCTTTCAGGCGGGACTTGTAAAAGGGGAAAGAGGGGTCAAGGCAGACGGATTGAGGGAGAGTGTTCCAGAGTTTTGGGGCTTAGTGGTTGAATGCGCGACCTCTAATGGTGGAGCAGAGGGCGTGAGGGACAAGCAGCCGGTGCCAGTCGAATGGAGGTGCTGGTTGGTGGCTGGGGAGTAATAATAATAATAATAATAATCCTTGCATTTGATATAGCGCTTTTCACGTCGGGAGGACATCCCAAAGTGCTTCACAGAACACACTGTAAAGTGAATTGACTGTATATTTGTGGGCGAACGCGGCAGCCAATTGCGCACAGCAATGTCCCACAAACAGTCGTAGATTGAAAATGACCAATTTATTATTGTTTTTGGTTTTGGAGGGATTATTATTAGGCGTGAGGAGTAAGGAAACTTGCCCAAGGTTTCGCCCTGCCTGGAATTGAACTCAGGTCTCTCGCTTGCAAAGCGAGTGCTCTAACCACTGAGCTACAGGACTCCAAAGTAGAGAGGTAGGGAGATGCCAGGGAGTGAAGGGATTTGAACATGAGTGTAAGCATCTATATATAAGTGCTATATAAGTCAAAGCAGAGTATGAGTTATAACCAGTTAGTTCTTTACCCGTGGAGTCCTGTAGCTCAGTGGTTAGAGCACTCGCTTTGCAAGTGAGAGACCTGGGTTCAATTCCAGGCAGAGGGCGAAACCTTGGACAAGTTTCCTTACTCCACACGCCTAATAATAATCCCTCCAAAACCAAAAACAATAATAAATTGGTCATTTTCAATCTACGACTGTTTGTGGGACATTGCTGTGCGCAATTGGCTGCCGTGTTCGCCCACAAATATACAGTCAATTCACTTTACAGTGTTCTGTGAAGCGCTTTGGGACGTCCTCCCGACGTGAAAAGCGCTATATCAAATGCAAGTATTATTATTATTGTTAATGTACTTTGTTGACACAAAGAGGTACTTTGGTGCTGAATGTCACTTTCCTTTATGCAAAATTCTGTATGTTGAATGTTTTAGGAGTTGATGGGGGGATATTTCCCTGGGGTTGCACTAGTGAAAGAGATATACTTATAATAATACTTGACATAATAAACGGCAAAACATTTTAAGCCACATCACAGCAAATTGGTGGCGAATGTGGTAGCCAATTAGTGCACAGCAATTTCCTACAAACAGCCATGGAGTGAGTAACCAATTTATCTGGGGGATTGTTAGCTACGATGCCAGGAGAAAAACTCCTCTCTGTTTTTGAGTAATCCATGGGATCTTTAACATCCACATAGAAAGGTAGGTAGACAGACAGGACTTTGATTTAACATCTCGTCTGAAGGACGGTACTTCTGAGAATGCAGCACTCCCTCTGCTCTACACTGGAGTGTCAACCTACAATGTGAGCTCAATGTCCCAATATGGAGCCTGAGCCCACAACCTTCTGACTCACAGGTGAGAGTACAGTTTTACCAACTGAGCTAAGCAGACACCTTTAATGCGTGAAACACAAGTTCATAATATAACATCTAATTATTTCAAGTTTTCATAAAGTTTATTGATTTAGCACCAATAATGTTCAGCTCTTTCAAAACTCCTCCACTATAAATTCCCACTTGGCCTTGCCCCAATAACCCCAAATGATAAAGACAATGCCCAGTGTAGCATTAAACCACGCAGACCAGAGAGTTTGATCCATGAATTGTGCTGAGACAACTGATGCCGACCTGACCTGGACCAGTTCTAGAGCCATTAAAAGTGGCTTTGATGTCCTCGAATTAAGCAGAAGAAGAAATTAGACTCCATTCCTGCTCCAGAATGCTGCTTATTAATCCCTGGAAAGTCTCTGCACAATGGATAGGGTGGGGGGGCCAGGGTCAACCTCAGCTGTAATACCTTTCGAGATTGAAAAGTTCTGCTCACAAACTAGGAATGGACTCTCAGGCTGGGTTGTAGAGGACTGTCATCAACCCTAGAAGTGCACACCAGCAAGAATTGATGCTTACCAATTGATGACTTATATAGGAGAGAAAGAAGGGAAATTAAAGCCTCATTTTTATAACCTGCTTCTTCTGTGATTCCCAAGGTAGTGTTTAAATAAATTATGAAATAACCTTTGATGTGTTCAGTGTCAAAAGTAATTGATGGTTGTTGCTGCTTGCATTTTTTTATTCTCAGTGTCACTGGGTGTAACTGGTTCATGTAGTGAGGGCTGACTTTATTTTATCCCAGTTTACTAAGTGAATTCTTCCCTTGCTACTGTGAGATCTTAATATTAACCAACTCAGATACTGGTGGGAATCTTGGGCTCATGAGTTTGCGTGTGTGAGAATTGTCACCTCAGTAAGAGAAATAGCTTGGCTTGGTAACACAAGTGTATTAAACGGGGGAGTGAGATGAACATTGCATTATTTATATCTAGAACTGTGATTTTGACCAGGGGGAGGAGGAGGGAGATCATGGGATAGACTTAATAGTGGATTTGTGCAGAAGGGCCCACAATTCTGTTGCTTTTGTTGATGTTTACAAATATGAACATGGATCTTCAATTTTTTTTGGGGGGGGCATTTTCATAAAGTCAGTTTGTCCATTGAATTGAATCTAACTGATAACAGCTGTGTGTGTTGGTGTCTTTCTGTGTATAAATAATATATAATAATAATCCTTTCATTTGATATAGCCTCTTATCATGTCTTCGAGACATCTCAAAGCGCTTCACAGCATATACTGTAAAGTGAATTGAAACCTTGGGCAAGTTTGCTTACTCCACACACCTAATGATAATCCCTCCAAAACAAAACAATAATAAATTAATCATTTTCAATCCACGACTGTTTGTGGGACACTGCTGTGCGCAATTGGCTGCCGCGTTTCGCCCACAAATATACAGTCAATTCACTTTACAGTATATTCTGTGAAGCGCTTTGAGACGTCGAGAAGACATGAAAAGCGCTATATCAAATGCAAGGATTATTATTATTATTTGTGAGTGTATCTGTAGAGGTATGTGAATATGTCTGTTTTTGTTTGTCTTTGTATAAATGTGTGTGTAGGCATGTGTCTGTGTATGTATCTGTGTGGGGGAATCCCTCTGTATGGCTGTCAACAATAATGACTCAACAATTTTATAATAGTTTAACTCTTTGTAAGTACAGTCACTACCGTTTTAGGAATACTCCATCAGGAAGCAAGCTGATTATCAAACAAATAGTTAATGAAATATCAATGGATTTTTTTGCATAACCTCTTCATTTTTTAGATATTTTATAATGTTAAAAAATTTAACGAATTAAAAAATTTAACATTAGGTAAGGAACTCTCAATTAAATCCTCAAAGGAAAAAATAACTTAATAACGTTTTAAAGTACCTCATTCTAAACCACTTCATCTTACATAAATCACGTTTGCAGAAGTAATAAATGTTTAATAAAAAATGTTTTAGTAACTTTGCCATTTTGTATTGCTGTCTTCCAGGAAGAAATCTTTCTTGTATTCAGCGCTATACGCTGCATTTATATTTGGTGGTCGGCATATGATGAAACAACGAGAGAAGTTTGAACTGAGAAAACCCCTGGTGCTGTGGTCGCTGAGCCTTGCTGTATTTAGGTAGGTGCTCCTTACCTTCTGTGCTGTGCCTCAGTGATGGGAAAAGCATGTGCCTCTTTGATGTAATTCTAAAGCAGTTTAACCTAGGTTGGACATTATTGCCATTTTTGACATTTGCAATGCCTTTTCTGTTCTCCAATTGTCATTTTACAGTTCCCTTTGGCCTCTCAACTTACAGAATACAGGTGCTTTTTCAATAGTACTAGTTTCAGTGACAGTAGCTGAAAAGAATGACTTAACCAAGTATAAAAGTAATGATGATTAGAACAATATTAAAGTCAACTTATTTGTGAGATGCCCAGAGTGGTGAGTCAAAATTTAAATTGCTTTTATTTGAGATATCCTCACCTCAGCATTTTTTTTAGTGACCTGTTTTAATTTGTCCCGATGAAGGACTAGGTAAGTAATATAGAGCTACAAAACGGAAACAACACTCTTTTTAAATCCCTTGACTTTAATTATTTCTGCTGCCAGGTGTTTCAGCATGTCGGTCTTTTTTCTCTCCTCTCTCTCTCTCTCTCTCTCTCTCTCTGTCTCTGTCTCCAAGGCTTCTGTTTCCAAGGCAAATGCATTGTAAATGTGCTGATCTCAACTTTAATTGAGTACAGTGCTGTTAAGACACACTGCCCTTCCCTCAACTATAAGCCTGGGTTTAAGGATTAGCAACAGTATATGACCAAAAGAGATGTCTAAAGTGCACAATCTTACATTTTAAGGCAAAATGGTCTCGCAGGCTAAGACTGAGTGGAACTTTTGGTCTTTGGGCCTTGATTTGATAACAGAAATTTGACAACAACAACAACAACTTGGATTTATATAGCGCCCTCCACGCCGGACGGCGTCTCAGAGCACTTCACAGTAACGGATCCCGGGACTGAGCCAGGGGGAGGGGGAGGAAGGTGACCAAAGGCGTGGTTGAAAAGAATGGTCTTCAGCAGGGACCTGAAAATAGGAAGGGCGGGGGTGAGGCGAAGGGATTGAGGAAGGGAGTTCCAGAGCCTCAGGGCATAGTGGCTGAAGGCACGGCCACCGAGGGTTGAGCGGAGGACTCGGTGGACGAGGAGGAGGCCAGACCCGGAGGAACGAAGGCAACAGGTACTGTTTTGAGGAGAGAGGAGGTCAGAGAGATAGGGGGGTGCAGAGGAGTGCAGGGACTTGAATACAAGGGTAAGATCTTGAAGTCGATCCTTTCTGGGATAGGCAGCCAGTGCAGTCTGGCAAGGACTGGGGTAATCGGGGAGCGGAGTTTGGTGCGGGTGAGAATGCCAGTGGCAGAGTTTTGAATGATCTGGATTTTATGTATGGGAGTGGATGGGAGACCGGCGAGGAGGGCGTTGGAGTAGTCCAGCCGAGAGGTGCTTTGATTTGATAAAAAATTTGACAGCACTGTGGTACAGTTATCAGCAATCGATTCCCTGGCTACACTATCCATTGCTGCTTATTATATTGGAGCATTCATTCTGCACTTAACGAAAACAAAACTGAAAAAAAAAAACTTGTAGCATCAAAGCCAGCGGTGGTATTTTATTGTTTTTTTACTTCCAGTATGTCACGACTGTGGTGCTTCTGTAATAATGGGATCTAATATGTAGTATTTTACAATAGTATTCACTGGTGGCATCTCATTCACTGACGGTGAATCCAGTTATTGGTAACCAGCAGGATATCCCAGCCAACTCCAGTGCTTTAAAGCAGGGATCTCACAATTGGGTTTAAATGATTTACTACCAGATTCCACCAGGATTTTCTTAGTGACTGAATCGCTACTTAACAACAACAGCAAAATTATATTTGTACGGCTATTTTCATGTCGGGAGGATGTCCCAAGGTGCTGCACAATCAGTGTTTTGGACCCGAGCTGGGGATTGGGATCAGTGAGGGTGAAGGGCAGGGGAGTAAGGAGGGTGATCGAAGGCACGGTCGAAGAGGAGGGTCTTAAAGGAGGCAAGAGAGTGGAGAAACTGCGGGATGGATTCCAGAGGGTGTGGGCAGAGTGGCAGAAGGCTCGCAGGACAATGGTGGGGCAGGCGAGGTGGGGGACATGAAGCAGGCCGGAGCCTGCTGAGTGGAGGGAGCAAACAGGATGGTGGGGTTAGAAGGTTGCAGAGGAAGGGGTGAACAAGGCCAATGAGGGGTTTGAAGGTTAGGACCAGGATTTTGAACTGTATCCTCTGTGTAATGGGAAGCCAGGAGTCGGGCGAGGATGGGGCTGATAGGGTGCAGAGCCTGGTGTAGGAGAGGACACGGGCTGCAGAATTCTGGGTGATCTGCAGCCTATGGAGGGAGGAGTTGGGGAGACCGACAAGCAAGGAGTTTGCGTAGTCAAGCCTGGGTGTTATGAATGCATGTATGAGGGTCTTGGTGGCCTGCAGTATGTTACAGTGGCAGAGCCAGGCAATATTACGGAGGTGAGGGAAGGCAGAGCAGGACATGGCATGAATGTGCCAACAACAACAAATTATATTTTTAGAGCACCTTTCATGTCAGGAGCACATCCCAAGGCTCTGGACAGTCAAAGCTTTGCACCCAAGCTGGGGGTTGGATTCAAGAGGGGTGAAGGGCAAGGGGGTTGGGATCAGAGGATAACTGAAGGTACGGTCAAAGAGGAAAGTCTTGAGACAGGCCTTGAACGAGTCAAAGGAAGGGGCGAAACAAAGGATGACTTTTTAAAAGAGGCAGCACAGATGCAATGAGCTGAATGGCCTTCTTCTGTGCTGTAAATTTCTATGGTTCTATCCTTCTTGAATCTTATTGCTAATTGAACCTTTAGGTGTTAGCCTGACTCAGTTGGTAACACTCACTTCTGAGTTGGAAATGTGCGGGTTCAAGCCCCACATCGGGACTTTTTGCTCACAGTCTATGTTGACACTCCAGGGCAGTGCAGTGGAAGGAAGCACTGTTATTGTTGGTGGTACTGTACCTCAGATGATATATTAAGTGAAGGTCCAGTCTGCTTGTTCAGGTGGATGGTCAAGATTTAAAGGAATTATCCCATCCCATGCTAGTATTGAAAGGTTTTTCCGAGTGTTCTGGCTGATAATATCCCAGATAAAACTGGTCATTAACTTCACGAATATGTGAGATACAGAACATTGCTGTGCAAAAATTGGCCGCTGCATTTGCTTACAAATACAGTTTCTACACTATAGTAAATCCTGTAAAGCACTTTGAGACGTCCTCCAGACCTGAAAGACCTTATACCAAATGCACAGATGTTTTGTTATTTTTAAAACATTTTCTACCTTTAAAACTTTTGTTTTTTAAAATAAAATGAGTCTTTACTTCCTTTTCAAACTATTCTTGAGTCTAGGAGCAGGGAATTCAGGAGACATCTAATTGGATCCCAAATGACTCAAAGTCTGGCTCAGTGGTAGAACTCTTAATTTCTGAGTCAGAAGGTTGTGGGTTCAAGCCCCAAGTTGGGACATGAAGTCCCCTTGTCTAAACTGATACTGCATCGCAATGTCGGAGGTTTAGTGCTTCGGATGAAATGTTAGACTGAGGTCCTGTCTGCCTGTTTGGGTGGATGTTGAAGATCCCATGGCAAAACTCGAAAAGAGAGGGCAGTTTCGCCAGTGTCCTGAGCAACAATCCCCCAAAGTAAAATTGGTTACTTACTCCACGCTTGTTTGTGGGGTATTGCTGTGTGCAATTGGACTATGCATTTGCCTACAAATGCACAGTCACTCCACTCCACAGTCGGAATCAATCCTGGTAGAGTGTTTTGAGACGTCCTTCTGACGTGAAAGGAGCTATATCAAACACAAGAGTTATTATTTTTTTACTTTGGAAATGATGAAGTGTAGAAAGTACCTGCAGTTCATTTTAAGCATGATCCGCAGTTATGATAATACCAAGAGATTACTGCCTGATTGCTGCTGGATCAGTGTGAATAACCTGTTTAACTGGTGTCACAAATTACTGGTGAGCCACTAAGCAATGGAAATCTGGCAGAATCTGGTTCAGACCACTTCAAGAAAAGTCCAAACCAGGAATTAGAGGCTCCTCGATTTGCAAAAGATTTGTATAACTGCAAAGAAAAACCTAAAAAAAGGAGATGATCATGAGGCAGTTAATACTTCACAGTTGTTTTTTAGACTTTGCTATGTGTAAATTGGTTGCAGTTTGCTTATAAATACAATGCAGGGGTGTTATAACACATTTTCCATAGTGCTGGTTTAGATACACCACCATTAGATTGTGTACCACATTCATTGTCTAACCGGCCCATTCGCTTACTGCGTGCCAGTCAACTCTTCCACTGAAATGGACGAATTCTGGGTCATTAGGTTAGTGAAACTAGCATTATGGCCTTGTCATAGCTCAAACTGGGTGGGATCTTATGGATCCCAACTACCTGGATATAGAGAGCCTCCACTGTGCAGTCACTACATTTTATTGCAATTCCTCTAAAGAGCTTCGACATGTTTCAATGTTATAAGCAGATTATCAAATCCAGTATGGATGGAAATGAATGGTTAGAAATTAAGTGTGGAACTGGCTCAATTGGCAGCTCTCTTGCCTTTCAGTTCACACCCTACACAGGGACTTTGAGCTCAGTCTAGGCTGACCTTCTTTTGCAGTGTTGGAGAGTGCTGCATTGATAGGGTGCCACAGGTTGAATGAGAAATTAAACTGAGATCTGGTTTGCCTGTTCAGGTGGATGTTAAAGAAACCATGGGACTAAAAACAAAAGGGAGTTTCTCCAGGTATCCTGGCCACCAACACCCCAGATAAAGCGGTCATTCACTTCTGCTCAGCAAACACAGGCCAACCCTGCCCTATCATTGGTGGGCGAGCTTTTAGCAATTCAGCTTCTGCTCTCTGGAATTGCTTCCCACAGTCCCACTTCCTTGCCTTTTCCTTCCCACCTATAATATCCCTTTTTTCGACAGTTTTTGATCATATTCCCGTCCCCCATGCCTTCCCGAGTCCCAGCTTAGGCTCCCAGTCACCTCCTTGAAGAGCTTTGAGACGGTGCTGTGTAGGATGAAAAATTG